GGAACGTAAGAACATTTAATTGACTGGGCCAAAGGGTTACAAAGAGATATAATATGAAAAATCAAAGTGAAGTATCAGGAGAAGAGGATTATCGATATGGTAACCCTCGCTCTCTGACTGGGCACAGGCAAGGGTGGCCTGCATGCCCACCACCCGGCCGTGCAACTCCTACTTGCGACACAGGAGGAAGTAGTCCGCTCACCGGTTAGTGTGGATATGGTGATGTCCTTTTCCTTCATTTTTCTCATTGCTACTCTTGTACTTGTCGCGAAAGTAGAACAGTCCGTAGGACATGAGATTTGTAGTCACCCATGCGAACATTTTGTTTTTTTGAAAAAACTGATTTTTTTGTTGTAGTTTTGCAAATTGTGAATATTTTTCTAAAATCCCAAAAAATAAAAATGTGAACATTTTTTTAAATCTTGAACATTTTTTTAAAATAGGAACATTATTTGAAAATCTGAACATTTTTTTAAAACAAAAACATTTTTAATTCTATAAAATTTAGGAGAGTTAAAAGAAAAACTCAAGAACAAAAGAAAAGAAGAAACAGTAAGGAAAGAGAAAAACCAAAAAAAAATGTGAATAAAAAGAAAACCGGTTCCAAAATTTTCTGAAAGGTTCCCAAAACCGGATCTTGTACTGCAGTCTGATTTACCAATGAGCCAGCCCGCCCACTCAGTCGCATGTTCCCTTTTGGCGCCTATTTGAGGCAAATCACCTCAAATAGAATTCGCCTGAATACAACGCGTTGCCTAAAAAAATAAACCTGAACACAGCGCCAACTCCAACATCGGTCATGCTCCTATTCCACGACCTGCGCAATGGAAAGCAAGCAAAGCGCACACCCGCTCTTGCTACGTGTGCCGGTCCGCTCTTCCCCGTTTCCCTTCTCTTTTTTTTAGCATCAGTACAAACATAAGCGCTCATATACACGCGCATACACTCATCTTTATGAACGCACACACGCACACCCTATCCCTATGAGCACCTCCGAGAGACTGAGCCGGCATATCATCTTGAGATTTACGAAGTCACCGTAGGCGCCTCGTCGTCGACGGGAACGTCTCCTCCTACTGAAAGCGCATCGCCGGAAATCCTGAAATAAATCCAGGAAGAATACCACTGTCCACCTAACCATCTTAACCACAGGTTGGTTCGCCCCTTCTCTTTTGTTTAAAACGTCGAATCATATTATTACCAAAACAACCGCAGCTTGACGCCCAATTTATATTCCGCGCATTAAACGCCAGTTAAAGTTCAATTCGCTAACCGACGTACATCCTCCACTACACTATGTATCTACATGGCCCTACCCCATGTGGCTCTTTGATTTTCCACTGTTTTTTTTCTTGAAACCTTTGCAATGAACGTACTGACGGTTTTCTAGGCAGTTTTTCCTTTTGGTTTCCCTATCTTGATTTTTTGCCGGTTTTCTCATTTTGTTATCATTTTTTATTTTACTCTAATTCATTATTATTTTTTTCACAAATCTGTGATTTTTTTTCAAATTTGTTTTTCTTTTTGCATATCTCTATGAACTTTTGTTCCTAATTTCATGAACCTTTTTTTCAAATCTATGAGCTTTTTTCAAATTTATTTTTCTTTTTACATATCTCTACAAACTTTTGTTCCTAATTTAATAAACTTCTTTCACATTATGAACTTTTAAAAAAATGCCATGAACCTTTTTCCCAAACCGATGAACAAATGTTCAACTGTCGACCGGTCAACATTGACCAAAAGCGAACAAGGTGTGTACCTGGCTAGCAATCGCGTCGTCACATGATGGCTGGCCCAGGGCATGTGGCTGCCAGAACCCCTAACCTGCACAGAAGGTGCCGATTGGAAGGTTTTTGCTTGACATGCCTGGGTGTAGCCTTACTCGAGCCGGTTCATTAAGAAAATACTCCAGTTTTAACAATATAGACGTTTTTGTTTTCCAGTTAGATCTCGTCACGTTGTGATTTATTTTTTGTTTTCAAAACTACCCTCCCACTCTCTCCCCCACAACCACTCTCTCTCTCTCTTTCTCTCTCTCTCTCTCTCTCTCTCTCGCAAATCCTTAGCTTGTCGTCGCTGGCCCTCAACCTTTCGAGTCACCGCCTCCTCTCCATTGGCCCAGTCACCCTCTTCAAGAACTTATTTTTATTTTCCAACTGGAGCAGCAGGAGGAGCTGGATCTTGACCACCGCCGCCAAATGCTCCACGTTGACACAACGGTTGGATCCAGAGGAGGAGGTGCAACTGGAGTTGCATGGAGGACACTGTCGTCAGGAGGAGTGGGAGAACATCGCCGTGAGGAGGAGCGGGACGACGCTCCCGTCACTCGGCCTCCCTAACCACCATGACGGCGACGACGATGCCGTCTTGAGGTGAGCCATGTACCGTGCTCTCTCGCTTGTAGATCAACATTTTTAAATACAATATGAACACTTTTTAAAAATGCGCAAACGGTAAGGATCGGCTAAACGTGACGATCAGACCGGCGTAGTGGATGATAAAGATGTCTGGTAGATAGCGGCTTCGTGTTGCGATCAGGCTGGCGTGCAAACATGGTATGGGGACCCGGCTGGATCAAGGATAGATCAAAATGTGAAAGCATCCATAGACCATACACTCGGTGCTGTCAAGTGTGAATCATTCACGATCACGGACGGACGAGAGTCGGTCAAGAAACAGAGAGAGACAGGAGAGAGCCTCAGGTGGAGCCCACCAGTGCCACGTGCAGACACAGTGTCGACTCACTCTCCTCTCCTCCCTCACTGAACGCGCTCACTCTCACTGGGGAGTGGAAAAGAGAATAGAAAACCACCGGGCGAAGTAAGGTATCCGAGAACCTTTCGGTTGGGTCGAGGACGACGAGCAGGGAGGAGCGGCGAAGACGATGCTGCACTTCAGCCATCCCGTGGTGCACCCCTCCCCGCCGGTGGTGGGACAGGGGCAGGCGGAGGTGGAGATGGTGCCACCGCCGGCGCAGGGGCAGGCGGTGCAGGTGGAGGGGCCGAACGGGGACGGGAACGCGCCTGCTGGGGTGATCACGAGGGACCCCTGGACGCGGTGCGGCCTCGTCTTCCGCCTCCTGCAGGCCGCCTTCGCCGCCGCCGCGCTCGCCGTCATGGCGTCCACCGACGACTTCTCCTCCGTCACCACATTCCGGTGCGACCTCCAATCCTTTTCTGATGGATGGATGGATGGGCGGGGCTCCCTTCTCCTCTCCTGCTCAGCAATTTTCCTTTTAGGAATTCAATTTTGGTTTCAGAACAACTGTCGCTGTCGTCCAACCAACCAACTTGCATTCAGTCCTTGCTAATTATCCAAAGTGAAATGCTCATATTTATTTGCGCATTTCGATATTTGTACTGTACGACTTTTTGGATCTTCGGTCCTGAAAGAGGCAGTACGATTAGATGATGCCATAGTGGCATGATCATGCTCCCTGTGATGTTATCTCAGCTGATTCATCTGAAAATGTTGTCTCAGCTAGCTGTCTTGTTTGGACGCAGCAATGTTTAGCAATTCTGCGAAAATCAGGTGTTTGATCTACAAATGCATGTGTGTCGACAATCTGGAATTCAGAATGGTGTGGTTCGGATGGACAATCATGTGCATACATTCCCTTCTTGAGGAAAACGTTTGAAGATCTGCATTTAGTGTGTTGCGAGTAGTACAGTGCATTGGCCAATTCTCCAGTACTGTCAACTGAAATGCTCATATTTATTCGCGCATTTCGATATGTCTACGCCTTTTTGGATCTTCTAGTCTGGGATCCTGAAAGAGGCAATACGATTAGATCATGCTCCCTGTGTCCTGTGATGTTATCTTATCTTAGATGTCATGTTTGGGTGCTGCAATGTTTAACATTTGTGCGGAAATCCGGAGTTTGATCTACAAATGCATGCATGTCGGCAATCCGGAATTCAGAATGGTGTAATTGTAATGGACAATCGTGTGCATACATTTCCTTCCTAAAGGAAAACAACTCAGAATAGGGGATTTTTATTTGTTTGTTTGCTCTTCTGTAGATGGACTTAATTATTCTTGTTCGTTTGAGCAGCTACCTCGTAGCAGCAGCAAGTGTGCAATGCCTGTGGAGCCTCGCCGTGGCCATTCTGGATGCCTATGCAATTGTTGTCAAACGTTCCTTCCGAACTGCCCGGGCTGTCATCATACTTGCCCTCGGGGACTGGGTAAGTCGTATTTTCTCCGCCAACTCAAGAAAAACAACAACCCATCTGCCATGCATTGTGTTTTGAATATGCAAATTAAGAATCATGTATATCTTTCTTTCTCCTAAAAAAGGTAAAAACGACCTGATTTGACCCGGATGTTTTGTCCGTAGGTCACAGGTACACTCATCTTCAGTGCAGCTTGTGGATCAGCAGCTATCACCACTCTCCTTTCCAATGATTTCGGAGCTTGCTCGGTAAATCCCTGTGGAAGCTTCATGAGCGCTACCGCCATGGCTTTCCTGAGCTGGCTTGCGCGTGTGCCGGCCTTTATCGGGAACCTTTGGACGGCGGTCCACCGAATACAAAAATCGTAGTTTGTGAAACAAGAACCGGGCAGTTTGCGCAACCCGGTCCCGTTTTCGTGACCAACTTCGACGCATCGACCGTAGCACATCTAACTATACTATGACCGGGAAGCAACGGATGGATACCCGCCGAACAAAGTATGTCAGCAATGTTTCTGTATAAATTAGGGAGTAACTTGATGTTTGAAAGGGTGGTTGTGCTGCTCTGGATTTTCTTCTTCTTTTGAGGATAGTATGACATCTTACTATATGAGGGTGGACTGGCGGTTGTTTTGGGGATGAAAAGATGGGTTACTTGTGTAGAGCTCAAGGTTGCTGATATGCTATATCTATCTGTTTATTTTGCTACTCATATATTTTGTTATTGATATATGGATCTTAGGTCCGGAGATTGATCACTTAGCACGGTCGCCACTTACGATCGCCATATTATTCGTTATTTTTCTAAATAAACATGCATATGACTCCAGTATAATCAATTTGCATCCTGAAGCCAGGAACAATTTGCACCTAAGCAAAAAGAGAATGCTTATTTGAGAAAAAACAGAGTATACTTGACTGATGCAACTTGCAAAGAATAGCTAGCATCCTCATAATTCTTCATCAAGTTCTCATCAACATCTGTCAGAACAACAAGTTTGCATGTATCATCATAACATAAGTAATCACAGGTTTCCCTGTCCTCATCCAGGTTTCCCTATCACAGAAATTGACTTGTGGGTGGCAAACTTTATTTCTAGAGTTCACATCTTTATCCAGATATAACGGTAACTCATACAACTAGAAAATTGTCAATAAAGTTTAATTAGTACGTCAAAGTCTCAGAGACAGAGGACAAGATAATCCATTAGTAGGATATCGAGAGGATGGTACGAGGGGCAGAAAGAAACTCAACCTGGAGGACACTCAAATTTTTAGGGATAGATGGCTTGTAGACCTCTAAGTCTCAGCAGTAAGCAACCTAAGGAAAGAAAGAACTGACCCCCAAAAAATATGTTACATAAAGAACAAATAGGGAAACCACACAATCTGACAAGTATTGATATCCTTACTCCTGCATGACAAGGTCTCCTGCAGGCTTCTCTCGTACAGCCATAAAAGAACTTAAACATATCGTCTAGAACTAAAGCTACAAAAGATAAAAGAACTTGTTTGTAAACCGAAGTATAAACTAACAAGAAATAATGTTATCTTAAGCATATCTTCTAGAAATGTCTAAGAATCTCAAGTCAAAACATACACATACCCTTTTAGGCTTTTACAACGAAGTTGAGCAACTGAAACAAACGTGAAGACACTAGGTTATGCTCCCGAAATAACAGCACATAAACTCTGACAAAAAAGACCATGCTGACTGATACATAATGCTCAGTTATGTTCATAGTGAGTTCAGTGTTAGCACCAAGCACTTAAGCTGTTAGATGGTGCCCATTATGTAGCAAAAATTTAAAAGCAAAACTACAATCATCAAGAACAACATAAAACATGGCAAACTGAAATTTTTAAAGAACTGTGAAAGAAGGAACCATTCTAAATCCTACTCCCTCCGTTCCTAAATATTTGTCTTTCTAGAGATTTCAAATGGTTACCACATACAGATGTATATAGATATATTTTAGAGTGTAGATTCATTCATTTTGCTTCGCATGTAGTCACTTGTTAAAACCTCTAGAAAGACAAATATTTAGGAACGGAGGGAGTAAGTTGGATTGGTCCTGCACTCTGCACCATCTTATCTATTTATTATTTCTTTGAAGGCATCTTCACTCTGTTAATTTTTAGGAGATGGTTGAATTTTTTTTTTTAAAAACGATGGTATATCCAGCAAAATCTGATGAGGCAGCATGAGTTCAGTTAATTTTCAGAACAATTCAAGCCACGCTAGGAATACTGACTATTGTCCGTAAATGGCTGAGCAATAATTTGGGATAAACACATTTATGCTTGTACTTACAAAAACAACATTTAGGAAGTATTCTTCAGGATTTAAGAAGTATGCTTAAGACGAAAGAATCCATCTTTAGACATTTCCGCACATTTCGATTTCACAAGACGAGTAATCTCAGGCTCTCAGCTACACTACAACTACATCTTGCTGCTGCTGCTACCCCTGCGAGTGGGACCCATCTCCCAGGCGAGCTTCCGGAGCACGTACTTCTGGACCTTGCCGGTGGACGTCTTGGGCAGCTCGCCGCGGAACACCACGGTCTTGGGCACCATGTACCCCGCCATGCGCTCCCGGCTCCATGCGATCACCTCGGCCGCGGTCACCGCGCCTGCTGCGCCCTCCTTGAGGCTCACGAACGCGCACGGCGTCTCCCCCCAGAACTCGTCGGGGCGCGCCACCACCGCCGCCTCGCTCACCGCTGGGTGGCCGTAGAGCATGGATTCCACCTCCACGCTGCTGATGTTCTCGCCGCCGCTGATTATCACGTCCTTGGACCGGTCCCGGATCTCCAGGTACCCGTCCGGGTGCATCACGCCCACGTCCCCGGTGTAGAACCACCCGTCGTCTCGGATCGCTGCCTTTGTCGCCTCGCTGTCGTTGAGGTAGCCCAGCATGACGCACCCGCCGCGGAGCACGATCTCGCCCATGGTGGCGCCGTCCCGGGGCACGCTGCGGCCTGTGTCGGCGTCGACGATGTCCACCTCGGCCATGCCGGGCGTGCGCACGCCCTGCCTCGCCTTGAGTCGCGCGCGCTCCGACGCCGGCAGCTTGTTCCACTCCCCCTTCCACGCGCACGACACGACGTGGCCTCCAGTCTCCGTCAGCCCATACCCGTGGCTGACCTCAAAGCCCATGGCCTCCACGCGATGCAGCACCGCGGCGGGCGGCGGCGACCCGGCCGTCATGATCCGCACCTTCCCTGGGAGCGGCCTCCGCAGACCTTCCGGCGCGTTGGCCAGCATGCGGAGCACGACGGGCGCGCCACAGAGGTGCGTGACCCCGTGATCCGTGATGGCGGCGTATACATCCTTGGGGTCGACGCGGCGGAGGCAGACGTTGGTGCCGCCGACGACGGCCATCCCCCACGGGAAGCTCCAGCCGTTGGCGTGGAACATGGGAAGCGTCCACAGGAACTTCGGCCGCGGCGGCATCGCCCAGTCCACGAGCGACACCATGGTGACCAAGAAGATCCCGCGGTGGCAGTGCACGACCCCCTTGGGCGCAGCCGTGGTGCCGGAGGTGTAGTTGAGCACCATCGGATCCCACTCGCTGGTCGGCCGGACCCACTTAAACTCCGGATCGCCCGTCTCGAGGAGCCTCTCGTACGTCAGATCAGTGGCCGGGGCCGGAGGGAGCTGATCCTTCTCGTGGGGATCATCGACGAGCACGACGCGCGGGGCGGCGTGGCCCGGCGGGAGGAGGCGGAGCGCGTCGTGGAGGAGCGGGAGCAGTGCCGGGTCGACGAAGACGAGCCTGGAGCCGGAGTGGCGGAGCAGGACGGCGACCGTGCGCGCGTCGAGGCGCGTGTTGATGGTGTTGAGCACGGCGCCGCTCATGGGCACGCCGAAGTGCGCCTCGTACATGGCCGGCACGTTCGGCAGCAGCACGGACACCTGAAACGCGCAGTTGGGTCACGCCATGGATCATCATCCACCAATCCAATTCATGAATTCAGTTTCACTCCGACACAGAGGAGCTTGCGAAATGACGAGGGATGGAAGGGCGCTTACGACGTCGAGGCGGGAGACGCCGAGGGCGGAGAGCGCGGAGGCGAGGCGGAGGCAGCGGCGGTAGGTCTGGGACCAGGTGAAGACGGCGCCGCCGTAGACGACGGAGGGGCAGCCGCCGAACACGGTGGCCGCGCGATCGAGGAAGCCCAGCGGCGTGAGCGGGCAGGAGTTGGCCGGGTTCGCACCGAGCTTCTCCATGTCCGCTGCTCCTGCGGCTCACTCGGTGGGATGGCTCGTGGTAGCTAGGTGGTCGCACGCCACGCCCACGCCCACCAACCGTGTGGGTGGCATGGGACGGTCAGGCAAACAGTGCAAACGCTAGTGATAAGTGCTTGATCGCTACTACTACTACGTTTACAGCAGAAGATGCCACGCCGTTTTCGTCCCTCTCTGCATTTTTTGTACTGATTCAAAACGAAGTTCACAGGCGACGTGCTCCATCTTTATCTATTCATTCATGTGTTTTTACAGGCAGGCATGTTTTCTAGCGAAACCAAGATGTAGAGTTGGCACAGGTTGTTTACCCTTTTCTTTTTGAGCGGCACGACGCATTTCTGCAATGGAGTGCGACACGCAGTTGCTAGAGGTCACATGTCAGTTGGTTGGTCTTGCCTTGCCCCTTGGCTGTGCATGTCTACTACTCCTAGAATATTAAGTGCTACGTTCAGGCAACTTGCAACAAAGTTGTAGCAAACGTTTCAGTTGGACCGGGATTGGTAAAAGGAAGCATGCAGTCAAAAAGTCACGTTGGTGGACGGGTGCATTGAAGCCCTATATTTCTAATAGTGTCAAAATAAAATTTTAAAGTTGTAAAAAATTCCAAAAACAATTCCACATGTTCATATGGACGTATCATACACATGTGCAAATTCTGATAATAAAATAAGTAACCATGTGAGTTTCACATAAATGACAAAATCATGATTTTAAAAAGATGAACAACGCATGTATTATTCACTTTTTAGATATCGTCATTTTGTCATTTTGCATAGCTCACATGTTTACTTATTTCATCACCAAACTTTACACATGTGTAATATCCATCTATATGATCATGTAGAATTCTTTTCGGATTTTTTTCCAAATTTTAAATGTGATTCTTATACTATTTAAAATAAAGTCCTCCATTGCACCCATGTTCCAAAAATACATTCTAGCATGCAGTCCTATTTTCTTATCCTAAATCCTCTAAACACAACTTATTTTCTTAGCAAACCATCGGTTTTTCAGTTTTGCTACTTCTCAGGTGCCTGAAGTTTTTTTTTGCGCAAGTTAATTTTTCCCTTCTTCCTTCCATCTTGGCCGGACCTCGCCGTAGAAGAAACAACCTC